AGGTGTGGGGAGGTGTGGGGAGGTGTGGGGAGGTGTGGGGAGGTGTGGGGAGATGTGTGGAGAGGTGGGGAGATGTGGGGAGATGTGGGGAGAGACGCCGACCTGGCGCAGCCACTTTTGCTCTCCGCTCGAGATGAACTGGTCGATCATGCACTGCGCCTTTGAATCGGAGTGAGCCAGGAGTGAGTTCGCAGTCGACGAGGAGCGGGTCGACCGTGCAAACACGACGGCGAGGTGCGGGGAGATATGGGGAGATGTGGGGAGATGTGGGGAGATTGCGCCGTGTTTGCGAAGTCGCCAAACTGCGCCTCCCACCTATTCACGGCGGGAGGTGTGAAGAGGCGCTGGTCGCGGGTGGTTGCGGAGTCGCCAGGCTGCGCCCCACACACATGATCAGGGACGCCGGGTTCTCGAGCGCGTACCCCAGCTCGAAGCCGAGCACGCCGAACTCGGAGAGGGAGGAGTTGCACGCCATGAAGGCCGCCTGTCCACACAGCCCTGCAGGTGTGAAGAGACGCCGCTCGCAGCCACACCGCCGCGCGGGCCGCGTCGCGCCTGCTCACAGCGCCGGTGTCTGCCGGCTCACCGACGGCGAGGGGCTGCACGCGCCGGGGAAGGCGCACCTGGCCCGGGGAGGGGAGTGGGTTCGGGGACCGTGGGGGTAGGGGAGGGTGGGTTCGGCGACCGTGGGGTGGGGGGAGTGGGTTCGGGGACCGTGGGGTGCGGGGTAGTGGGTTCGGGGACCGTGGGGGAGTGTGTTCGGGAGCGGGTTCGGGGACGGTGGGGTAGGGGAGTGCCTGGCCGGGGTCGATGTTGTTGAGCGCGCAGTACTTGGTGCCCCACTCCTTTTGGTCGTGGATGACGCAGTGCCGGTGCGAGAAGGTGCCGCGCTCGACGTCTTGGCCCGAGATGCGGACGTGGTTCCCCTCCTAATTAACGAATCCGCCCTGGGTGAGTCATTCATTACTCAGCCCGAGATGCGTTTTGGGGGCCTCCTGAGCAAGCTGGCCCACGCCAGCTGCTCCCCC